AAACCAATATCGAGAAATGCATTGCTGCAGTTTAAGGTTTCAGAGGTGGGGCAGTTCTTGGTCTAGAAGAGTTTAGGGTGTGGAAACTGGGTGGGGACTGGTTTATGATTATCCCAGCCTTAATTGTTCCTGAGACACTGTCCCTGTAGTCAAGGGTTATGTCCACGTGCAGCTTTGCATTGATTCATTCAAATGTTGAGTTTACCGGGATGAAGGAACAAACTCCCTATACTATTGTGTCTCCCACTCCTCACTCCAGATCCCAGTCATTTCATACCTGATTGGAAAAAAGAGCTGGGGAAAATAGAACGTTTCTTTCTGAAGTCCTCCGGTGCTTCTTTGTACGGTACTCTCTGGATACTAGGTGTTCATGCTTTCCTCTTGAGTTGAATCATGTTGAAATTGTTCCCTTTTCTGCTTTCTACTCAATAGCAGGAGTTTTCAGAACTCCTTTCGGTATCTAAAAACATTCAGCAACTTTGAGAATTATCCTTCCTTGGAGGAGGGCAAAAATGGTGCTCATCCCTGTCATGCGAAGCAACATGGTAACAACAGAAGGTGAGCATGGAAACAGAAGGAAAGAAAATGGGAGAAGAAGGGAAAATATTTTAAATGGTTACAAGAAAATCAGTGTTTTTTAGTTCAGTTTTATTAAGATCCAATTTATATGCCATTCACCAATTTTAAGTATAGAATTCAATGAGTTTTGACAAATGGATATTGTTGTGTAACCACATATATCATTCTTATCACTCCAAAAATTTCCTCAGACCTCTTTGCAGTTATTCTGCTTCTCTTAACTCGTCTCTGACAACCACTAATCTGCTCTCTTTCACTATAGCTTTGCCCTTTCCAGAATTTCAAATAGATGGAATCAGACAGTATATAACCTTTCATGTTCAGCTTTTTCAAGAAAACCAGTCTTATATGGAGGATGTACAAATAGCATGTAGGTTAGGGAAAGGTAAGGAAAAGAAACAGTAAAGTTCACCAGTCTGAGTGTTCACCCCCTAAGTAGTTCACCTCCCCCCAAAAAATCAGGTTTTATACGCTAGTTACATTTTTAAATACTCATTAGAGGCCAGAGGCAGGGGCTCATGCCTGTAATCCCAGCATTTGGGAGGCCGAGGTGGGAGATCACTTGAGGTCAGGAGTTCGAGACCAGCCTGGCCAACATGGTGAAAACCCTTCCCTATGAAAAATATAAAAGTTAGCTGGGCATAGTGGTATGTGCCTGTAGTCCCAGCTACTCAGGAGTTTGAGGCATGAGAATCGCTTAAACCCAGGAGGTAGAGGTTGCAGTGAGCGGAGATCGCGCCACAGAACTTCAGCCTGGGTGAGAGTGAGACTACATCTAAAAAATAAAAAAGATAAATACATAATTATTAAAAACAAAAACATGATGTATATTGGTACCATTGATATGATTTGATTTTAAAAATTTGTATTTTATTATTATATTTGTATTATCATACATATTTATAGTATGTATTATAATTTTTTATTATATTTAATATATTTTGTTTTATTTTGATGTTATTTTATGTGCATCAGTGATAAGCAGACCTCACTTAGGAAAACACTGAATTCAAAGCTCTTGATATTCTTATATATTTCTAACGGTCTTATTCTCCCAGTCATGGATTTGGCTAGTGAATGTTAAATAAGTGGCCTTTAGCAAAATTAATAAGTAATGATGACTTCTGAATCTCCACATGTAGCATCATAATGTGCACATTAACCTTATTTTTAGAGGTGAATTTAACCTTTTAATTTGCTTATCTTTATTTCCCATTGAATTTGGTTAGAATTAGAAAAATGTATATTTGAATAAAATGGAAAACAAAAAACACAACTAACAGACAGGAAAAATGAGACTTGACATGCAGCAAACATAGATGCGATAGACGTCCTGTGTGAGATTTGAAGACAGTTTCACATCAGATAGATGATCGACTCAGCCTTCCCGGTTAGGAGAGTGCAGCAGAGTCAAACCACAGACACCATAGAAAGGGTATAATTACATTTTGTAGTGGAATGTCTGTGGAGAGTCTATATATGTGCACTCATTCTCACTGCCACTGTGTGTGGATGACAGTTGCTCTATCACTTCTGTACATTTGGAAGAGGACTCCGTAGTTTGCTGTACGTCTCTCTGTGTGGTTGTACAGGCTTAGCCGACTGAGTCATTATAGAGTGTAGCATCAATAAATTACTGATCTATGAAGACCATGTCTTTCTGTAGTTGAGGACTTTGCCTAGGAAATTAGAACTCTGGGAGGTTCCCAAAGGGCCTTGGAAGATTAAATTAAAAAGTCCAGGTTTGATTTTTAAAAGCTCCCTTTTTACATTTGTGTTTGTAACAATTGTTGCTAATTGGCCGGTCTAGAGGAGGTTATAAATGGAGATGGATAGGACCACTGTCAGGGGTTGCAGGCAGGTGAGCTCCTATTTACTTCACCATTGATTTTTATTGAGGTCGAATCAGGTCAGATTGGAGTATCTGAGGCGACTCTGAAATATAAAGGTGCAGCTGAGGCTTTTTTCAAGGGTGTGTGTTAACAGGAGACGCATAGATACACTCACTTTGCCTGAATAAATGTATGAGCCCTAGGTCTTTCACAGCACTCTAAGGAGAGAGATAAGGAGCTGCATGCCCAACTGGCAGTGCCTGATTGGCTGTTGGTAGGAAAGGTAGAATAATCCAAGGCTTTGAATCAATTGAGGGGGCCCATTTGAGTCTATGTGTTATTGTCATGTTGTGACCTATGAAAAACAGTTTCTCAGATCCTTTGGTCGAAGGATTGCCAGGCTCAGGTAATCCTTCCACCTCACCCTCACTCCAGAGAATCTGAGACTACAGGCACATGCCACCAAGCCTGGACACTTCTTGTGTTTCTTGTAGAGACGAGTTTTCACCATGTTGTCCAGGCTGGTCTCAAACTCCTGCTGGGCTCAATCAATCAGTCCGCCTCTGCCTCCCATAGTGCTGGAATTACAGGTATGAGCCACCAGGCCCAGCTTTAAATGCTAGCTCTTAAACTGTCTTTCAGGAGAGGCCATTTCAAGATGAAATCTTGGCTCTGTTTTCAGTGAAAATTTCATAGTTCTAAACCCCGGTTAATTCTGAATTGGACCAGCTTAAGCATGTAGTTACATAGAGAATGTGCCTACTTCTATCTCGGGCAAATGGTGGTTGTCCTATTGTCATATTTTCCTCTGGAGACTGCTGTAAGGATTCACATCACTAATACCTGTGCAGGCCTCACCCTTTAACTTAACAAGCGATGTCAATACGATAATATTTTTCACTTGTACTTAGAGAAGACCTTTTTATTTTAAAACTGCGAATTCAACTCAAAGATTACAAGACCAAATTTTGCATCTTAAAAAAATTCTACCATAAACAAAGCCCACATTGTGATCAGAATCCTACTTTCTTTTCTGCATAAAGCAGCATAGAACGACGGTCAGTTACAGATACATGACGCTAAACAAGGATTTGTACTGTAAATAAAGTAGGTTATATAAATTTTAGATGAAGAAAAAAGCAACAAACTAAGGACAAAAATGATCTCTTCCTTCTTTGAATTGTACTCTTACAACTAATACTAAAAAAAACTCCCAAAATCAAATATTCAAAAATAATTTGTTTAAATGCGTTAAAAAATAATTTTCCCCAGTAAACACAGGGATGATCAACCAAAACAACAACAACAACAAAAAAACCCCACAAAAACCCTCTTGGTTTTTTGCTGAAAATAATCTAATTGTATTACTATTTACTACATCAGTGAGTGCCTGGAGATACCTCCCACTTTCATATTTGCCCTGTATTGTATCTACGTGTAGATGGAGGTGGCTGCAAAAATATGTGCTGACTTCAAGACATAGTGTGGGATGAAGTTGTCTTTATCTGAGGAAGTCTCAGCCATGCCTGCAGTTTCGAGATGAATTTCAATTCACGAGTTCCAGTACCACCACCACCATCACTGGTCCCAGAGAGAATGAGACTGGTAGTAACTTGAAAGATAATCTATAAAGATCCTGTAATCGTTTTCACTATATCACTTTTTCCTGGCTACTTGTATCCGATAAAACTTCAATTTATTTTTAAGCTATTAAACATGAGAACAAAGAGAATCTTAGCTTTATGCGAAAACGCAACCATGCATGAGAACTGCTTGTCTTTCTGGGAATGGTCTGTATTTGGGTGAAGTCATCAGACGTCATTACACTTCTTTATTTGGGGACTGCCGACTCGTTTCCCAGGATTTAAAGACTAAAACGATGATAAAAGTCAGTTTCACACCCTGTCAAAGACTTGGCCCGTTGCCTTTTCCTTCCCGGCAATACTCGGTTGGTTCAATTAGGTCTTGTCCCTACATTATCTGTGAGGACTGAATTCAACCCCCGCCTTTCAACGCGGGCTCTTTGCTCGGGGAAAGTCAAACCATCCCTCAAAGGATCAAAGAGCTCAGCCGTAGACTAAGCCGCCGGAAGAAAGCGGAGTTGCTGCGTCAGATGAAAGGGCCGCATCAGCCTCACTCCTCAAGGCAGCTCCTGGGATTTTAAAGACAGGGTCAGGAGGATCAGGAGGGACAAGTGGGATGGAGGCGAAAGGCTGGATCCTTAATCCAGGCCGGAGACAAAGGTGAGTAACTGCTCGTGGTGAACGGGAGATGGGCAGCGGGAGGCTCCTCGCCCCCTAGCCGGGTGGCGTGACTTCAGGAGCACTCACAAAACCGGCCAGGACTGGGTAGGACAGAAGGTCCCAGCCGGGGCTGGCGAACCGGCTACTCGCTGGTGGGGCGAGGCTAGGAACGCCCCCTCCAGGCCCCGCCCTCCCGCGCTGGGCCGGGAACTGGAACTTAGGCAGGCGCCCGGGTCACGCGCCGGGACTGCCCCGCAGCCTCCAGCTTCCCGGGGCCCGCGTCTCGGAGGAAAAGCGCGTGCCTCACGTCCTCCTCCCCGCCCCGCCCCCTGCGCACTGCGCACGCGCGGCCGCGTCCCGCCCCTTCTCGGCCCCGAGAGGGTGACGGGGTGAGGGCGGGGGAGCCGAGGTGGGGAGGCCGCCAGAGCTCCCAGACTGCGAGCACGCGGGCCGCCGTCACCCACGCCGCGTCACGGCTCCCGGGCCCGCCCTCCCTGACCCCTCCCCTCTCTCCGTTTCCCCCTCCTCTCCCCCTCCTCCTCCGACCGAGCTGTGGCTTAAGCAACGGAGCGCGGTGAAGCCCATTTTTCTCCTTCCTCGCAGCCGTGCCGGGGAGCTCGCGGCGCGCGGCCCCTGCCCTCCGCCCCGAGATGAATGCTGCGGCAGAAGCCGAGTTCAACATCCTCCTGGCCACCGACTCCTACAAGGTAGCGCTCGGGGCGGGGGCAGGTGACGAGGAGCGGGGCGCGCTGGGCACGAGCGCGGGGCTGGGGGGCGGGGGCGGCTGTGGCGGCTGTGGCTGGAGTCGCGGCGCGGGGAGGCCCGGGCGGCGGCGGCGGCGGCGGCGACTGGGGCAGGTGAGGCGGCACCGCAGTGAGCAGGAGGTGGCTGGAGGAGGATGGAGGGCTGGGCGGCGGAGGCGGGGCCTGGGGGCGCGCGGCGGCGGGGGCGCGTCTGGGTTTGAGGCGGGCCCCTGCGGACTCCTGGCCTCCGGGGCTCCGGGGCTCGGGGCTCCGGGCTCCAGGCTCCAGGCTCCAGGCTCCAGGCTCGGGCGTCTCCGCCGAGCGCACGCCCTCCCCTGAAGCGCGGCCTTTTGGCCTGGAGTTGGGACCAGTTAGGTAACGGCCCCAGGGGCCCGCGGTGGAGAGCGAGCGAGCGGGGCTTTCCCCGCCAAGCCAGCCGGGCGAGCTCGCCCCTCGCCGTGCAGGTGAGCCTCTTCCCGGGGGCTCGGTGGGAGAAGTCCTGGCGCGGGCGCCGGAGCAGCCGCGGTCCTCTGTCTGCGACCCCGGCGCGAAGAACACTCGCCTGTCCCCTGTAGCCGTGCTGAAAACCCCTTTCCACTCCAGCCGGCTCCGTTTCAAACTCCTTTGCGCCTAGTGGTTGCTCGTGCTTCTTACCCCTTGGTATAGAAGCCCGTCTGCTCTTAGTGCTTTAGGGTCACTACAGGGTTTCTGTGAAAAGGAAAGTGAAACACGAGGATTTAAAGGAACTGTATTTTAACCCTGGAGAACTTGTCTAGAGGGAAATAGCACACCGTTGCGTTCACATGCCCTTTGAACACTTGCATGGGTGGCTGCCACATTCTGTTGATAGGAAGCACATAGTAGTAGTAAAGGGAAGAGGTAAAGTAAATTTTTCTTCTTGAGCAACACGGTGATTTGGAATACGGTGGTAAAACATAGTACTCTCCTGTTTCTGTTTTGGGTCTTTTTTCCCTTTGTTTTTAGCCCTCCTGCAATATTCCAAGAAAGTGTTTTAGAGAATCCCATTTTACTTGTTTTGTCTGTTTCTTTCCAATCAGTTTAAGATGCTGTTTATGATATTTAGATAGGTTATTTAAATCGAGCCAAGATTTATCAGCAAGTTGTCTTTTAGATACAGTTTTAAAGTATTGCAAAATCCGAACACTATGAAGTATGATTCTTGATAGTATACCTTAAGTATGGTCCTTTACTTGGCTCTGAAACCTCCTCTTGTGTTCTGTTGGTTCAATCATAGTGTTTTCAGAATTTTAAATAGATTTTAGAATAGTTTCATTGATAGTTTTTTAGAATTTTTTTTCTTAACTAAATCTAAAATAATTTTCAGATTTTTTTTTTTTTACGTGTTAGCCAAATGTAAAGGAAGGTTGATTAGTCTAAATTTTAAAAATAGAGGAGTGCAATTTCCTTTAGTTTGCAGTTCCTCTATCCATTATACATAAGGAATGTACTTTTAACATCAGTTTTCTGGGGTGCTTTTAGTTAGAATACGGAATTACCTTAAAGTTTTGTAATCTAGTGAGCCATATTTAATTGCACTATTAGAATTTGCACCTGTTTAATAAGGTTTACTTCTACTGATTTTCAAGTCAGGCTAGTTTATTTTATCCCTTTTATAATAAGAAACTTCAGGAGATTTTCATCCTAGATTTTTCATTTTCTTTTTTTTCCCCAAAAGTCACCTCTAGAGGATTCAATCAAGTTGATATGTTTTATGCCAGTGGCTTACTACAGTATGCGACAGTAGATTGTATATTCCACGTCACATTTAAGTCTTTGAGTTTCATTTCCCGTACGTTTTTAGGGGTCCTTATAACCTATTTTACATTTCTGTCTTTTTATCTTAGGAAAAAGGACAAGGGAGGGTGGTGAAGCCCATCATAATCTTTAGGTTAAAGTAATGAAACTTTAACTTAAAAATTATGTGAGAATGTTACATAGCCTCATCAGTGCTTACAAACTATTGGTCAAAGTAGGGGTAGTTTTAGATGTGTTGATGAAGAGAGCAAAATATTGTTGATTTATTCTTTCTAAAACTGAAGGAAGAATAATTGATTTCCTAAGCACTACAAAAGTTATTTTGCAAGTACATGGTATGGTAGCTAAGCACATGACAATGGGAATTTTGTTTTGTCTTGTATCCTGTGAAGAGAGTCCAGGTCATTGTGGACCAAAGGAGCATTTGAACTGTATACATCTACTTCTGTAACCTCATACTTTATTGTATATAATAAGGAATTAAGGACACAGACAAATATGGTTACTCCACTTTCATCCTCGTTCTTGTTGAAAATAAGGAGGACACAGTTTAAACCACATTGCACATTAGTTATGAAATGTGCTGTCCAGTGTAGATTGCTTCTCCAAAGGTCATCTGTAAGCTGGTTATCTAGATTTCAGCATAGTTTTAGCCATTCATTTAATAAATATTGGTATTGGATATCATAAAAGAAGACAAAGATAAGTACTATTTTGAAATCCAGGATGGGGGAAAGTTGATTTATAGAAATTTCAAAGAGCTGTGCAATTTATATATGGTGATTAAGAATCGAAGGCAGCTTTTTTCAAAAAAAGAGAATTTTGCTTCCTCTAATGGCAGGATAACAAATCTTTGTTGCTTGTCCTTCACTGCTTCCGAGCAGATGCTTCTGTATTATCACTGTTTCTCCTGAGGCAACCTGAGCCTCATGGGGAGTGGGGTACTGTTGCAGTTTGTACCCCAGAGACTACCTATGCATGTTTAAGATCTATTCATGAAGGTATATGTGACATTGTCCATATATTTCAGTTTTTCCACTATGTTTTATGTTATAAATTACAGGAAAAACTTGAGCAACATAAATAAAGTATATGTAAATCATGAATATATTTTGTAGAGAAATTAATTTAGGTCATTAATATTTAAGCTCGTGTTTTCGTTGTGAGTTAATGAAATCTGGTTTAAAGGTGTGGCAAAAGAGATAAAAGTCATTAGAAATTCCATGCAGGAAGTTTAAGGGAAAGAGGCAATATAGTTATAGGTGGTTTTATAATTTCTTTCTTTCCCCAAAATAATATAACCCAAAATCCTTGTTATATTTATGTGCAAGCATTGCTTCAAAGCCAAATAGCAGTGAATTATTTTCTGGAGCAACAGGCAGATTTGCAGGGCTTGAGAAATCTTGAATAATACTAAAAAGAAGAATCAGTTACGGTTTTTGCTGTTTCTAGCACATTAGCTTTGAAGCAGCAGCAGGCTTTAGCCAGTGTTGGGCAGAGTATATCATCCTTAGATATTGTATAGCTAAGATTACTTGCTCTGTGACCATAGCTATGTTATCTCATGTGATCTTACATATACAGCCTATTTTTTAAATGTTGGCTTGTGATTATTAGCAGTTTAAAAGTATAACTGAAAAAGGAAGTTAGTAGTACTCGCAGTTGGTCTTGTGTGATCCCATTGCGGGAGGAAAGATCTTCAAATCAACCCTAAGACATCAAATCAGCCCTATAGGACATGTAAAGAAGCATCTAGAGAAAACTAGGCTTTCTTCTTCCAAAAGGATTCTTTTCAACTGAAATATATGTCTCGTATCTCATCCCCCCTTTTTTTTTTTTTGGAGACGGAGTCTACAGAGTCTAGCTCCCTCACCAGGTGCCAGGCCGGAGTGCAGTGTCAGGATGTTGGCTCACTGCAACCTCCGCCTCCCGGGTTCAAGCATCTCATACTTTTTTAAACTGTCATACTTGGAACAAGGATATTTAGTCTTGCGAATGTAGTTTTTTGATAGAGTTGATTGCCCAGCACTCCATAATGAAAAAAAGCTGTCCATTATTTCAGACTTAGGGCTAGACCCTTTTTGTTCTAGGCACTAAAATAATACCATTTATTATCTAGTATGTAATAATTTTTAGAAGTTTATCTTTTCATGAAGTAAATTAATCACACAACTGAAGAGTTCTGTTCAAAGAACTGCATTTTTCTATGTGTGTCTGTGTTCTTTACTACACATGTATTGATGTTCAGGCGACGTTCTTTTAACAGCAGGAGGGCCATGTGAGTTTAGGAAGCATTTTCGCTGGTAAGGTTTGCTGGGATCTTACTAGGTATTTTGTTTTGTCTACATCCACTGAATAATTTTGTATTTATTATACAACCATTTTCTTTAGTAACAAGTCAGTGCTAAAAAGTTAACATGATTTAAGAACTTCCTTTTTGTGTTCACTTTAATTCAGAATACTATGAAACTGTTTGTTAGCATGATTTAACATTTAAAATTGAGCACTTCATTTCCCTCCTATTCTATAGCCTTCCCCATTTTTATAAATGGCACTGTTATTAACTCAGTTGCTCAAGCCAAAAATGTAGGAGGTATTCTTTTTTTTTTTTTTTTTTTTTTTTTTTTGAGACGGAGTTTCGCTCTTGTTACCCAGGCTGGAGTGCAATGGCGCGATCTCGGCTCACCGCAACCTCCGCCGTAGGAGGTATTCTTAATTCTTCCGCTTTATTGTGTTCTACATCCAATTTATGAGCCTAGTTCCGCTTTACCTCCAAAAACACTAGGCAGATTCTCCCATCTAACCTAAGAGCCCCTAACTCCTCCTTCCACTTTGGTCACCCTGTAATCCATTCTTATCCACCACCAGGCTGATCCTTTTAAAAGGTGAATCATGTCATATTCACCCCAGCTTAAAGCATAATGGCTTCCCATAGCACTTGGTATAAAATCCAAGCTCCTTGGGGTAGCCTGTAAGCCTTACATGATCTTATTTTTGCCTCCCTCTGACCTTATCATGTTCTTACTCCTCCCACCCTGCCCCCCATACTTTTAAGTACCAACCACACTGGCCTGTCTTCTGTTCTGTCACTTATGCCAAAGCATTTCCTGTCCTCTTGTCATTTAGGTCTTGATCACGTCACCTTCTCAAAAGAAGTCTTCTGGCCCCCTTTAGCCCATCATTCTCTTACATTTTCATAGCATCCATCTTGATCTGAAATTACTTGGTTGGTTTGTGTATTTTTTTCTTCCTTCTTCAGCCCTTACTAGTCCAGTGAAAATAGAGATTGTGTCAGTCTGTTTACTTTCTCATTCTCAGTGTCTGAGGTAGGTAAAGAGTATGTGTTTGTGAATGGGTGAAGTATTTATAAAATAATGGTTGATTTGAATATAGGCTATGTTTTCCCATTTTTCTGGTGAAGGTTCAGAATGGCCCATGTAGTAGAAAGTAAAATGAAGAGGACAGTAAACTAGGAAAACTAGAATCATCACAAATCCTTTTGACTATATTGTTAGAAATAATTACTAAAGAAGCTCTGCTTTAAAAACATTTTCCCATTAAGCAGCATATACATCAGCCCTATAAGTAGATCTAAACATGCTTTATATTTTCTGTAAACTTGTTGGGTGTTGGTAGATGGTTAATAAATTGTGTTTCTTGGCTGAATACCTGAAAGTTTGCCTAGATAACTTAGATTCATTAGCTATATTCTAAAACATTTGTCTTAAGGTTCTCCAAAGATTTTTAGAGTTCATACTTTGTTTCTAATTAAGCAGTTTAGACAGTTTGGTATTTTAAATATTTGTTTTCAGAGAAGGCATTCTGAGTAAAGGTAGGTTTTAAAGTACTATAATTAAAGTACATAGCTGCAGTACACTTTAAAATTATAAACATTTAATTGTCTAGAACTGGAGCTGTATTTGTACAACGGAAAATTTTCAGTGTACTTGTAGACCAAGGTATAGAAATAGCTTAGAGACATTTCCATTTAACTTTTGACTCTTTGTCTTCTCAGAAAAAAAAAAAAAAATTAATTTGCCTTCTAGTAATTTTAAATCTGATATAAAATGCACCATTAAGTGTCTGAAAGTAAGACTCAAACTAACTATGGAAAAATACAACTATGAATCAGGCTTATAAACTTGTGTGGTAAGATCAGACCTTTTTTTCAAGTTTGACTTCATCCTGTGTACTTTTCTTCTACCTCGCTACTTAGTCCCACTAAAGAAGTTGGAGTTATTTACGTTGTAAACTGGACATTTTCATTTTTACATACCTCTTGGGTATGTTTTTAGTTAGAGGTGCCTTTTTCTAATCAGTTTCATAAGTAGTTGAAGTAGTAGTCATATATTTATTACTAGAGACTCATTCATAAGTATATTTGTTTTTGCATTTTGGTGAACTGACACAGATTTCATTGCTGTGGATTTTGTACTAGCTATCTTGGTTAGTTACTTCTTATAGTGGGATCAGTCCCTGGATTCTAACCTTGACATATACCTCTAGGTTTTGATGAGACTTCCCTGTACCTTTTGGTATATAGCTATCTGTTGTACCTAAAGAAAACAGAAAGCTCCCAGTATCCTGCCTGACTTAAACTCTCAGATCACCTGTTACTGTAAAGATTTACCTCCCAACATTGTCTGTGTGCAGCATTAGAGACTATTTTTATAGAGTTGCAAGTATGCTACCATTGGCAAGGAAACAGCATGTTCTTTCAGAAACGTCAATGGAAATATATTCATCCCAGGATTCTTGTGCTAAGCTATGAAGATTCTTTAGGATAGAACCAAGTTTTACTGTAATTGAGACTGGGCACCCAAAGACAATGTTGGCATTCTTATAAACTTGAGATCAAAGCTAAACAGGAAAAATGTTTTATGTTCACAGTGATCATTCATGAAAAATGGTCTGCAAAGATTTATTCCACCATTGCCATGATTCGCCCTATATCTAAAACATTAAGGCATTATTATTTTTACTTTTTCAATTGGACACATTGTTCTTCCACTTTATTTTTTTATTGGTAAAATGTTTTAATATGGTTGAAACATTGAAATAAAAGTCAAGCTATAATGAACATTCACTTTTTACTTTTTTTTTCCTTAAAAGCACATAAATTTTTTACATAGTGGCTCTTACCCAAGTTCATGGAAAAGCAATTTGTGCTAAAGACCTCTTCATATTTTTAAACCCCATGAGGATTTGTTGTTTCATTGTATAAGAATTCATTTTCCAATTAGGTGGGTGATTTGAGAAAAAGATTACAAAACAGGAATTTTTGTTTCCTTTGCTGCCGCTGCTGTTGCTGTCATCCAAGTTTACATAGTGTCACTATGAAAGCTAAAAGTGATCATCCTCAGTACCTCATTATACAAGTAAAGTAGTCATGTTAAGTCACTGACTGTTGACTTAATGGAATATGCCACATTTAGGTAGTAACAATACCAAATTTCGCTGTCTTTCAGTTCATTCTTTTCTGTCATGTGTGCCCCTTAGGCAGCTGCTTCTCTCTTGGCCTGTTCCCTAAAACCAAATGAAATACTTTTCCAACCTAGAGGCCTTGTAGTAGGTTTAGTGTGCTTGTATATAAAATTTAATGCTCTTTTGTGGTTTTAAGAAACTGAACTATGAAAATATCTTAGTAAGATACTTATTTATTTGGTGTAGTCAGGGAAAGAAATTGGTTAATAGCAAACAAGAAGTATCGTTTCTCTGCTTTTGAAATAACTTAAAGCCTTTTCTGTTGTGATTTATAGTTCTAATCATCTGATGTTTTCTAACGGAAGTATTTTTGTTTATATAGGTTACTCACTATAAACAATATCCACCCAACACAAGTAAAGTTTATTCCTACTTTGAATGTCGTGAAAAGAAGACAGAAAACTCCAAAATAAGGAAGGTGAAATACGAGGAAACAGTATTTTATGGGTTGCAGTACATTCTTAATAAGTACTTAAAAGGTATCGCTTTTCCTAGTATATTTAAAAGACTGCTTATTACTCTAGGAGTTCTCTTAGAATTTTTAACAAATCTGTTAATTTGAATGCATTAACTCTTATAATTTTGTGTGTGTGTTTGATGTTCTAAGTATACGAAAAGTTTTCTGAAATAAAAGTTTTTGTTTTTGAGACAGAGTTTTGCTCTTATTGCCCAGGCTGGAGTGCAGTGACGTGATCTCGGCTCACCACGACCTGTGCCTCCCAGGTTTAAGCAGTTCAGCCTCCCGAGTAGCTGAGATCACAGGCACGTGCCACCACACCCAGCTAACTTTGTATTTTTAGTGGAGACGGGGTTTCTCCATGTTGATCAGGCTGGTCTCGAACTCCTGACCTCAGGTGATTTGCCCGCCTTGGCCTCCCAAAGTGCTGGGATTACAGACATGAGCCACTGTGCCCAACCAAAATAAAAGTTTTGAAAGGAGCTTAGAAAAGTCAGTAATTTTTGGAGGCTAATCTGGTTTGTTATATATTAATCATTAATTCAGAGTACAGAATTTGTTACTGGACTGGAAACTCCTTTTGAAATATGGTAGCAATCATAATTAGAATATTTTTATAGTAGCCAGTTGTACCTTAAATACTTATTTTTTAAAACTACCTGTGTCCCTGGACTTAGTTGCAAATGCATATTAAAACAAAAATCCCCCAAATTTCTGTGTTTTCTTATTTGAAAGGCGATTTCTAATCCATTTTTCTAATGGTGTTTCTAGGAGGAAAACAGTTCCCAAACACATACATCTTGGAAAATTTTCTCTCTAACCTTTTGAAATAAACATAATCTCAGAATTGAATATAGATTAAGTTGAATTTTAGGCAAACGATAACTCTTTTCTATAATCATGACTATTTTAAGATTAGGCAGTTCAGAACAATAGTCTTATAGTACTGAAAACCTAGCTGGATATCAGAAGTAATTATTAGTAGCAAGAATACCAAAGTTTTGTTTTGTTTTTTGTTTTGTTTTGTTTTGTTTTTTAAGACAGGGTCTCAGTCACCCAGGCTGGAGTGCAGTGTCGCAATATTGGCTCACTGTAACCTCTGCCTCCCAAGCTCAAGCGATCCTCCCCACTCAGCCTCCGAAGTAGCTGGGACCACAGACTCACACCACCATGCCTGGCTGCTTTTTGCATTTTTTGTAGAGACAGGGTTTCACCGTGTTGGCCAGGGTGGTCTCGAACTTTTGAGCTCTCAAGTGATTCCCCCCGCTCCATGGCCTCCCAAAATGCTGGGATTACAGACATGAGGCACCATGCCTAGCCCCACATGAGTTTGCTAGTTATCATGTGTAAAGTTACCAGAGACTGATAGCATACTTTAATTTAGTTACATAACTTAGGAACTTTGTAAAATGTTATTCATTATTAATTATAACTAAAATGTATTGATTACCTATTCTAAGCCAGCATTATTGTAAGTGGTTCATATGTCTTAACTCGTTTTGCCCTCACAACCATCATATAAGTGGGTAGTCAACTGTTATCGTCATTTACAGATAAGAAAAGTTAATTAAAAGTGTGTTGTTGGATGGGGCAAAGTTTAGTAATTGTGGAAGTTCTGGCTTATCAGCCCTAAAGATGAGACAGTCTTTATGAACAAACTGAGAAGCTTCATCTGGATGTAAGAAGCTTTTGAGTCATCTCAAATTTGAAAAGTACCAAAATTAATCTAGAGGAAAAAAAATTTAATTTTTAAAAACTATGCAAGTATTAATTTTTTCTGTTACACATCTGCTTTTAAAATAAATAAAATTTATACTTAGAGTGATTGGAAGTACAAATTCCTTTTCTGAGGCTGGGCACGGTGGCTCACACCTGTAATCCCAGCACTATGGGAGACTGAGGTGGGTGGATCACTAGGTCAAGGGATCAAGACCATCCCCGCCAACTTGGTGAAACCCCGTCTTTCCTAAAAATAACAAAAATTAGCTGGGCGTGGTGGCGCGCCCATAATCCCAGCAACTAGGGAGGCTGAGGTAGAAGAATCGCTTGAATCCGCGAGGCAGAGGTTGCAGTGAGCTGAAAAATTGCACCACTGCACTCCAGCCTGGTGACCAGGCGAGACTGTCTCAAAAAAAAAAAAACAAAAAAATTCTTTACTGACTGCTGTTTACTCTGGGTGAGTCATTTAATTTGTCAGTTATATTTTTAATCCATATAATGGGTGAAATAGCCAAAGCCATTAATTCTGTGACAATTCAGGGACTCACAGAATATCTTTAGCAATGTAAACAGGACATGTATATTCTTTTAGGTAAAGTAGTAACCAAAGAGAAAATCCAAGAAGCCAAAGAGGTCTACAAAGAACATTTCCAAGATGATGTCTTTAATGAAAAGGGATGGAACTACATTCTTGAGGTAAAAATATGGTTTCATGTTTTGATCTGTTTTGGTTTTTCTTTTCGTTCAAAACTTCTTCAAAAGGAATTTGGTGCTGTTGTTGTTGTTGTTGTTGTTGTTGTTGTTGTTGTTGTTGTTCTGAGATAAAGTCTCACTCTGTCACGCAGGCTGGTGTGCATTGGCACGATCTCAATTCACTGCAACCTCTGCTTCCTGGGTTCAAGCGATTCTCCTGCCTCAGCCCCCCGAATAGCTAGGACTACAGGCACACGCCACCACGTCTGGCTAATTTTTGTATTTTTAGTAGAGATGGGGTTTCACCATGTTGGCCAGGCTGGTCTCAAACTCCTGACTTCAAGTGATCTTCCCACCTTGGCCTCCCAAAGTGCTGGGATTACAGATGTGAGCCACCACGCCCGGCCAGAATTTGAATAAGACATTAGAGTAATTTGTATAAGACATCAGTTTTTTTTGTTTGTGGTCTGCATATAATGGCTATTTTAAACATCCTTTAAAAGTTACTGGTAGCATTTTATCCCTCACCCCATATCCCCCACGTTAAATCATTAGCATATAGGATTTACGGCACATCTAAGTAATTAATATAAATGAATTACAACTTAAATAACATTTTTGAGAAAGAAAATTCATTCTTGAAAATACACTTTAGGTAGGAAAGGGCATGGTTATTTGGCAGTTTCAAAATGAGGTCTGTTTTCTTGACTGAAAATAGATGCTTGAATCTATAACTACACATAATTCTGGGAAGTTTCTCACTGAATAGTGGGAGTGGTTTGGTGCTGATCCACAAAGTTAATTTTTAGTCTTTATTGTATTATGTTTATATCTAGTATATTTGAATTCATTGTTTAAATATCAAGGCCCTCGAAGACAGTAATAGAATTATAAGAGTTGAATATACTCTGGTGGTTTCTTTATATCACAAAGATGATTTGGGAATGGAATCTGTTGGCATCTCTTGATGTTGAATGTTACTTTATCTCACAAACAAAAGTTTTTTACATTGTGCAGACTGTCAAACACAGAATAAATAGAAATACTTTAACTTTCATGCCTGTATGACAGTGCTAACTTGTACTATTTGGTAATTATGGGTCTTGGAAAAAGTCAGGTAAGCACTCTGTGCTGCATTTTCGCCATATCTTAAGTAAGGTCAGTAGAATCTGGAGCTAACTCCTGCGCTTGCTCCGTTTCTCTTCTGTGAGTTTTGTTCTAAGGATAAATACAGTGATAAGTTAGGTGCTATGCTTATTACTATACTGTCAGGCGGACAGGGCAATAAGTTGTTTGATGATATAATCAGAAAATCTTTGGGAACTAAAGCTTCTCTAGAGATAATCTGGTCTAACCCCATTTTAAAAACAGAATCTGAGACCCAGAGAAGGAATGACTTGCCCAAGGTCTCCATGCTGCTTTTGAGTATGAACTAGGACCTGTAGGGCAATGTTCTTACTGCTATACATTCTGCCTCCAGTGCTTCTGTTAAACACATTTTTCTTTTATTTAATTACCTTGTCCCAAATCACATAAATTATTAGGATTTCTGAAACAACTTACCTTCCTAGTGAAAAGTTAGGGACAGCTTTTTGCTTTTAAAGGGAGGGTTGCGGCCGGGCGTGGTGGCTCAAGCCTGTAATCCCAGCACTTTGGGAGGCCGAGGCGGGTGGATCACGAGGTCAAGAGATCGAGACCATCCTGGTCAACATGGTGAAACCCCGTCTCTACTAAAGATACAAAAATTAGCTGGACATGGTGGCGCACGCCTGTAGTCCCAGCTACTAGGGAGGCTGAGGCAGGAGAATTGCTTGAACCCAGGGGGCGGAGGTTGCGGTGAGCCGAGATCGTGCCATTGCACTCCAGCCTGGGTAACAAGAGCGAAACCCCGTCTCAAAAAAAAAAAAAAAAAAAGGGAGGGTTGCAAGGAGGTCAGTGTCATGTAGCAGATAACCTTTAGCCTTATTTTGGAGGCAATTATTGCATTAAGAAGAAGTCAGTTAAGTCAGGCCTGAATGTTAATTGACAAGCTTCTGTATTTGGCCTATCTCATAGTTTGAGGTCCATGACCAGAATAAAGAGGGAACCTATTTCGGTTCTTCTGCAGGTATTTTTATTTTTTTTCCCTAGCTCTCCTCTCAATTTTGTTTGCTTTTGTTCTTTAATAGCAATCCTTGGCCAGGCACGGTGGCTCACGCCTGTAATCCCAGCACTTCGGGAGGCCAAGGCAAGTGGATCACAAGGTCAGGAATTCAAGAACAGCCTGGCCAACATAGTGAAACCCCGTCTCGACAACATACAAAAATTAGCCGGGTGTGGTGGCACATACCTATAGTCTCAGCTACTCAGGAGGCTGAGGCAGGAGAATTGTTTGAACCTGGGAGGCGGAGGTTGCAGTGAGCTGAGACCATGCCACTGCACTCCAGCCTAGGTGACAGAGTGAGACTCCGTCTCAATATATATATATATAAATCCTTTATCTTGCAGTCTACAGCCTTTGTTTTGTGAAAATGACCAATTCAGAATAAAGATAATGTTCTTGGAATATTTTTAGAATATGTTGGAGTTAACTCATCCTTTGTCTTTTTCTGAATGAGCAGGGAAAAAAGCAACAGTTTTGTTTTGATCAGTTTGGAATTTTCTGCCCCTTCTAGTAATAAATATTCTTAGCAGAAGCACATGGCAGCGTTAAACTTAAAAATTAATATTGGTACCTATGTTGTTAATAATTTTAACTAATTTTATTTTAGAAGGATAAGGATATTCTGAGTAGATTACAATAACATTTACAGTTGCAATTTCTATGACAGTAAATTTAGCTTCTATAAAATGTAAAGAACCTTTAGTAAAACAGCATATAGTTGAGTATCATCTGTTGAATGAATAAATTTATTTTCTCCTACCAGAAATATGATGGGCATCTTCCAATAGAAGTAAAAGCTGTTCCTGAGGGCTCTGTCATTCCCAGAGGAAATGTTCTCTTCACAGTGGAAAACACAGATCCGGAGTGTTACTGGCTTACAAATTGGATTGAGGTGAATTGTTTTTTGTCATTTTCATTTTTATTTAACATTAATTGAATAAAGACCATTGAACTGAGATTACAGTTTAGAATTTGTTTTACTGATAAAGGTATATAATCTCCTACAATTTACTTAACTTTTCCAGGCTTCAATTTCCTCATCTATAAAATGACAGACTAAATCTTTAGGCTTCCTTCTAGTAGAATAGAATGTTCTGAGATTTTCTTTAACAAATTATTGAGAGTGATTGTTTTTAAAAATTAGTTGACTTTCACTGCAATTTTAAATGTGTATTATCTTAGAGCAAACTTTTTCTACCAGCACATTTCTAGTAACTTAACAACATTCAATGAATTATAAATGTTCAAGTTAGACTAAAAGAACTTTGTTCCAGCTTTTAGTCATTACTGTCTTCATTTATCTCTAATCAGTTTAGGTCCTGGGATCTACCACCTGTTACTTTTCAGTTTCTCATCTAAATATAAGCAATAATTCATATTGTTTAATTTTTCAGGAAGAGTATATTAAAAGGAAGGGTACATTATGGGCTTTGGATTTCTACACAAGCCTTTTTTGTTGTTGTTTTTCTTGTATATATACCTAAGTAGTCATGTTTTCACATGGTCAGAGCTTTGATAATAATACTCTACTTAGCTTCTGAACAGTTTGATAATAGATTTTATCTGTAAGAGGAAATTAGAAAGTAATGGTGGAAATAACGCCTTACTATCTGGAAGTATTTACATAGTTCTTAGAACTAATTAGTTTATTAAAGTAATTTGCTGTTATATTGTAAAATAGTACATTTGAGGCTCACTTATAAAAATTGGAAAAAGAATTGAAATATAAGAGGTCCAAGAATATGTTAGAAACACATTTTGCTAAGTTGACAGGAAATTTATAGACTTTTGATGGGCCATTAATAATAGACTCAGAAAAAAGGTACAGTTAAATAAGGGTTTTAAATAGTCTATACCATATACTAAAACTATCAATTAACTGTGAACTGTAAAAGAGAATGTATCTTACTTGTTTCTATACAGCTGTAAATAGCATTTGTATTGGCAAATACGTGGTTTTCAGGGGATGGTGTTAAACACAAGAATAGGAGAGGTGTTCATATCATCTAGACTAGGTTTTTACCTTAAATACCAAAGATCCCAACCAGGTAAATCTCACTTAGAAAATTCATCCCCTGTGGATTAACCTTTTTCGTATTGTTCTTTTTAGTTGTCTGACTGGTGATTTAGTCAGTAAGTACTTTTACTCATGTCTAATTAAACTTTCCTAAAGCATATATTTATGGAAGGAGAGAACTAGATAGCATTCCACCTTGCTTCATTATATAGTTTTTTCTTCTTCTGAAAGTGAAGAACATTGGTGTTAAAATTAAATTTTTGTTTCTTAATAAAAATAAATTTTAATAAACAGTTTCTAATTAAAAAATTTTTGGTATCTCTTACTAGGAAACCATAAAGTTAAAAAAAAATTATTTTAAATCAGTAGTTTAGCAAATATTTAAATATCATTTTTAATAAAAGGAGTTGTTAAACATAAATTTAATATGGGACTGTTTGATACTGTTTTTTTAAAAGTACATAGACCCTTGCTTTTAGTCGCTTAAAACCTGAAACAATTTCTATTGAATTTATCTTCTTTATACTAATATATATTATTTCAAATTATTTCAGTCCTAAATAGGTATTTATATCTAAGGCATAAAAATTTATAGTCTGATACTGTCTATTTCTTATTGTTGTTTCTGATAGAGCCTATTTTTTTAATGTGTGAATCTGAATATCAGACTTCCAGGATAGACTTCTTCATAGAGACTTTGCATTCCTTGTGGGGATAGAGGAAATTCATCCTATTCTTATCAGTCCCCAACCCTAAGTTTACCAGCTTATATTTGAAAGCTAGGAACCCCAATAAACTTAGTAATTTCAAATTTGAAAATGTTCTTTAAACAGACCTTGATTTAAAACATTTTAAATAATAGCACTAGTTTTTCTTTCCATTCTCTTTCCCAGTATACGTTCACAGTTATTAGTAACTATTGATTGTTATTTGCCTGTTAGTAGTATACAGAATTTTAAAATACACTGAAATTATTGAGTTGCTTTATTTCAGTATTGCTAGCAGAAGAAACTTTAGTCCTCTCACATTTCATAACAAATTTAAGAGTACCTAGGAGTTCTGCAAAGTTGTCTCCCGCTTACGGGGGAGCTGAGGAACCAGTATAGTGGGCTAAACTTACCCCTCTCTTCTACCAAAAAGAAAAAGAAGAAAAGGAAATTTATACCATTAAGAAGAAAAGGAAAGATGAGTTTAAAAATAGTTGTACTGAACAAGTGTCCTCATTTCACAGATGGGGAAATTGATCCCTTAGCGATGAACAAACTGATGAACAGAATAGGTGCAGCACCCTTTCTGCTGTACTACACCATTTCTCATTCTTTTAAGCCTTTACCCTATGCAGTGGCATTGTAATAAACACTTCTGAAAGGAAATTTACAGGTTTACTTCCTTTAGTCTTAGTTTCAACTAATAATTTTACTTTGATTTGTATGGGCAAATTGCTATTTTGGAAAAGTTTCCAACAAGGCCTACTTTATTAGACCTTGGATTAACCCAAACTAACTTGCCTTTTTTTCCCTTGCTTACACCTACAGTGATCTTTTTAAAAGGGGAGTGATTTTATTAAGAGTATAATTTAAGCTGATTTTGTTGGACTATGGAAAGGAAACGGTGATGTGAAGGATCACTGTGTCTGATAGTTATTTCTCTCCTTCCCTGGCATTTTTCGAGGGGTAAGGTCAATCTTCTACCTTTATAACTCAACTAGAGTTTTTCACATTATGTTTTATATCTTATACTCCTAGATAATATTTGAGTTGAATTAAAATGTGAGAGTTGATTGAATTAAATTCAACAAGTGAATATTCATTAAGTACCAGCTATGTACCAAAAACAATGCTGGGCACAGAAGTTAGAGTAAGATGTCTCACTCAAAGGGCCTTTGAGGGAGAGGTGGCAGTTCATTCTTAACTAACCACTAATATCATTAAGAATTAGTGCTAAGTTGGTAGCAGAAAATAGGTAATTCTGTCTAAAGCAATCATGAAATGGAAAATAAGCTTAATAAGGAGAAGGAAAAGCTTAAGAAATGCTACTGTGTTCTTAGAATGACAAATAGTCCTATGGCAACTGCAGCATAAAAGTAAAAAATGCATAGACGATAAACCTTGTGATGATATACAAGGCAAGATGCTGGAAGGCCTCAAATCCTGTATGAATGAGCTCCACCCCCACCCCGTGGACAGCAGATCACAGTTCAAGCCTTTTAAGGAAAGCCTAAAAAACTAGTTTTGGAATGAGGAACCAGTGGCAATATGAGGAATAATTAGAGAGGGTAAAGGTTAGAGATAGGATAATTGTGGGCACTGGCAGTAGAATTGAAAGAGTAATTTCAGAAGCAGAATGGCCAGAGGTTGGAGGTGACTGCTTAGAGTTTAAGAATTGTACCAATTTTCTATTGTGTAACAAACTATCCCAAAACTTAATGGCTTAAAGCAACTATTATTTCTCCTGATTCTGTGGTTGACTGGATGGTCCTCTGCTGGTCTTGCTTAGACTTATACATCTGCATTTAGCTGAGGGTTCAGCAAGGCTGGACTCTCTATAATGGCCTCATTCCCATGTCTGGGGCCTCAGCTTAGATAGCTGGGACTACCAGGTCTCACATAAGAGGCTTCTTCAGAGCATGGTAGTCTTGGGGTTCTAAGAGAATGAGAGTAGAAGCTGGAAAACCTCTTGAAACTGGAGCTTGGGAGTCACACAGGACTTTCTCCACATTCTCGTTAGTCAAAAGCAAATCATAAAGACAGCACAGAATCAAGGGATAAGAAAGTAGATTCTATCTCTTGATGAGAAGAGCTGCAAAGGCCACATTTATTCAGTCACAGGAATCTAATGAATGCTGCAGGATTTTTAAAAAAGATGACCAGATTGGCAAGTTCAAGGTTAATCTTTTTATTTGTTTTTACTTGTTTTATTTATTTATCACTTGTATTCAGTAAAAGCTTGCTTTGTATAATTTAGTTAATTAATGTCTTTTTGGTTCAGCACAGACATTGCATCATCTTAGCAGCTCTAACAGATTTGAAGCTGCTTCTAATGACATACTATCTGGTTTATAAAATAAAAATAGAAAAGTATGATCTTAGAATGGAAAAGTTAATTTCTAAGCCATGGTAATTATTACAGTTGCTATAATTAAACATACTTTCTGTGGAGCTTCCTGGCAGCCAAGAAAAAAAGGGAAATCAAAACAGTGTTCTTATCAGAAAGAGGAACCCAGCATTTCTTCTGTTTTCTCATTTGGGAACTTAGTAATCACTGAATTATAAAGTAGACCATGACCTTGATTATGCAACATATGTGGAAATGTTTCCTGTAACTTACTTATGTAAGTATTTTATCAAATATTTATATATTTGATAAAATATATATTTTATAAAAGCTACATACATAAAGCATAACTCGGTAAATAGATTTCTGTAGTAATAAGCTAAAGTGCTTCAAGTATATAACTTAGTTGTCCTATTTAATCCAAGAGAAAATGAGATTCAAGACTACCTAGAGGAGTAAACGAACAACTTCTTTAGACCAGTACTAATCAAAATGCAGTTCTGTACTTAATGTGAACTTGCATCAAATAGGGCATGCTGGTCCATGCTGGTCTATGCCCTAGTTGATGCAAGTCCACGTTAAGTACAGAAATGAAGAGTAAGCATTTAGAAACTTGGGGCAGTTTGACATTGCCTCAGCATCCCAGTTTGAGTGTACTTTGTAAACTATTGATCCATGACAGAATGATACTTTCAGAATTGGTCCTTTTATCACAGATAGTCTTTCAGAATGTTACTTGCTTCTTTGGAGCTTTGGATAGAAACTTGGTAATGTGAAGTTCTCTGCTGTGTGGGCCTGCTGTGCTTATCTTTGTTGCTGATTGAGAGCTGAGCAAAGTACTATATCTGGAATGCCCACGACAGGCATCCTACTGTGCAGTTGAGTGTCTAGTTAATAGTATGGAAGCTCCAGGACATACCTCCAACAAAAGCTAGGATTTTCCTCAGAAAGAATGCAGGATTTTATGTCTTAATGTTTGTGGTTAATTTTGTTACTACAGACTATTCTTGTTCAGTCCTGGTATCCAATCACAGTGGCCACAAATTCCAGAGAGCAGAAGAAAATATTGGCCAAATATTTGTTAGAAACTTCCGGTAACTTAGATGGTCTGGAATACAAGTTACATGATTTTGGCTACAGAGGAGTCTCTTCCCAAGAGGTAAGTGACTGAAACCAACCTCATTTAATATAATGTGGATTGATTGTTAGAGTACCACTATAAACTTTTGGGGATGTTATTGGGATTGATCTTGGTTCTAAATAGGCCACATTTTGAAATTCCAAAGATTCAGCCAGCAGATACATACTCAGTACCTACTACTATGTTCGGGGTACATGGGATATGTCCTTCAACAGAGGTCCCTCTCCTTGATACATTAGATAGGTGGACAGATGGATAGAAACAAACATAATAAATATATCAGATGTGAAATAATGCCATAGAGAAGCACAAGGCAGGGTAAGGGAAGAGAGAGTGATGAAAAGTGGGGTGGAGCACTATTAAATAGCTAATATTTAATTTAATATTTATTAAATATTAAGATATCAAATACTTGTTTAATTTAGTAATTAATATTAATAGTTATTAATTAAATAGTTTAAAAACATAATAACTTATCTCTTTGAGGAGATAATAGTTGAATTTTTTAATATTTAGGAAAAATTGAATCTCTGTCATTAAGAACTGTTATCTCTGATAATAAATACTTTCCTAAGAATAGCTAAAGACAATTCGCATGGGAGCTATGCTATATACCTTAAATGTGGTTGACTGGATGGTCCTCTGCTGGTCTTATTATTATGTGGGTTTTTCCTTTTTGGATTTTGGTTTATGATTGATTTTCCAGACTGCTGGCATAGGAGCATCTGCTCATTTGGTTAACTTCAAAGGAACAGATACAGTAGCAGGAATTGCTCTCATAAAAAAATATTATGGAACGAAAGATCCTGTTCCAGGCTATTCTGTTCCAGCAGCAGAACACAGGTAAAAAAATGCTGTTTATTTACTAAAACTACTAACTTTTTTTACTCTTGTATTTGTATCTCAGTGACATTTTACCTAACTGCAGAGCCAGGTACCTACAGTAAATCTTCATGAACTTGAGCAACACAAACTCAGTATCTATACAGAAGTATAAACATTAGACTCAGAGAGGTAGAGAAGTTTTATCCATCCTAGAAGAAACAGCTTTAAAGCTTTTTTCCAACACTTGCATTGCCATAGAAATTTTCTTTTTAAGGAATTGTTTTTTCAGTTACTGTATTGCCAAATGTAGATAGATTTTATTTCATTAAATTTAGAAGCACTCACTTATACAGTACTGGCCACTTTATGCCTTTTTCTTGTTCTTCTATATGACTTTCCCTGTATTTGCCCTGGAAATTGTCATCTGTACAGTACCTTCAGTTGTAGATGAGAAAGCAAGACTTTTTGAGGAAAGAAAGGGTGTTCAGATCCTTTTTACACTTCCTTATCTACTCTTACTAAACCATCTTTAGTTACCCAAGAAAGAAATTATAATCTAAACCACAGCTGCTCTGGTCCTAGAGCTAACTTTATTGAAAGTACATGGGGTTTTTTAAATGTTTGTCAAACCTTATTTCTGGTTTTTATAACAAAATTATTTACTGTGATCATTAGGGAATATTTAAGTTCTGCTTATACTTAAAATTCCAAAATGCTAAAAACAGCAGTGAATTTAGAATCAAGCTAAGCCTTATTGTTACTACTATTTGAGCCGTATTAGTTGACCAGTGTTCATATGCAAGGCAGTCTACTGGGTGCAACAAGGGATAGAAGGATATTTTTTTTTAAAACTGACCCTATCCTCAGGATGAAATAATACATAGTGATAGTCTGCTCTGTTGGTTAAGTGCTTGTAAGGAGGTACAATTAAAATGCTGTAGTGTTGCAAGGGAAGGAAAGGAAGAATCATATTCTACTAGGAAAGGAGGATCATATTTCACTAGCAGTATCAAGAAAGCTTTTATAGAATATGCAAAATCTTCTCTTGAAAGATTGGTAAAATTTAATGGCTAACACTGGGCAGTTATTCATTCTCTGAGTAAATATTTATTGCATGCTTATCTTGTGTGAAATATTGTGATGAAAAGCAGAGAGAGTGAATATGATTAGAGAATAAAGGCTGAAACAGATTTCTTAGGGAGCATAGGGGAGACCGAGAAGACAGGTTCGGGTTAGTAAGGGCCCTCATATTTTGACATTGAATGTTAACTGTGTGCACATCATGCTAGGTTATTCTAAATTAGGCATTTTTAAATGGAAGCAGGCACTGACATTTTTGAGCAAAGAAGTGATGTTATCAGGTAGATATTGTAGGAGACTTTCTTATAGCAGGATATTTGTCCTATGGATTGGAAAAACCGGAAGATCGTCTTTATAGGAAGCTATTCCAACAGTGTTAGGGTGATGAAGTCCAGAACCAAGATGCTAAATGGAAGGAAATAGGTAAACATGAGCAATGTTTGGGAGATAAAACTGCTAAAACTTGGTGTTTTGAGTTGGGACTCAGTAGGGAATAGATTCAGCTGATCTTTATGAGCATTGTGGTATTAGTTAGGCCTTGTTGAACACTTTTACATAAAAGCTTCAAGACTAGCAACCTGGAAAAATAAGAGCGTCTTTAACAGATAAAAATACTCTAAAACTTTATTTTGGACTTAGATGTGCATCTTTTAAAAATCTAATGTAGTATGCACATATTAGACTCTTGGCTGCTGGTTGTTTCAAAGTAGTAACATTATTCTGAGAACAAGGACAGTGGCTTTTGGGCTTTCTTGTTAAAATGAAAAGGACGCTACATGTGGGCATGAGATAAAAATCCGTATTATTTTTATGGTCTCATATTATTCATTGCATTGGTAAAATTTGACTCAATATATACAGATGTTTCACATGTTCTTAATAGAAACATCTTTTAAACAACAGCATAGTGTACCAAAAAGAGGTTTGGACTGAAAGTTGGGAAACCTGGGTGACCTCGGGCTGACATAGTGGGTGGCCTTGGGCAAGTCACTTGTCTCTCTCAGGCACTTATCTCTGTTCATTTCCTCCATCCAACCAAACAAAAGGAGGAGCTAAAGTTTTACATCTCCAACATCACAAGGTCACTGATGATAAATGAGCTAACATCTAAAATAACTTTAAGAGAACTGTATAAATTTAGAAGTTTACATTATTATATGTATCTTAATAGATGAATCTGTACCTAGAAATATTTAATTACAGAAGCTTTTTTTCTCAAACTTTGGAAAGGTATCAGATTTAATTTGGTGCTTGAAATTGGGATTAATAGCATTGATAGAATTCATTAATGATCATTTATGATGTCTAGAATTCATTTATAATCTTCATATATCAAATACTAGAATAGAGGTTATGATTGGACTAGCTAGAGTGTGCTATAGCAAATGTCTGTGGGATGCTGACATGAAGATACTCAACTTTCTATCTCACAAAGTAGATCTGGAGCCCAGAAAAAAAAGAGGCTAAAATACAGATGCTGGAAACCCTCATGCAGGGACTTTTTTTTTTTTTCTTAAGCTTTGAATGTTTCACATAAGGTGTTACAGAAGACAAGTACCTAAGTCAGAGCCATGAGAAATATTGCCATTTGGCAGGTTAGATTGAAGAAGGAGAGCTCAGCGTCTGGGGAAGACTGAAAAGGGAAACATAGAAATAGAAAAATAAAGGTGAAACATGGGAGATGTCATTGAAGTCAAGAAAGAACACTTCAGGAAAATTCAGGTGTCATGGAGAAAGCAAGTAAGATCGAACAACGAAGTTTGCTAGACATGATACAAGTAGATGGTTAGATGACTTACTGTTACAACATTGTAAGCAGTGTCCTCTTAACTGTAGGAGTTCATTCACACATTGTAAAATTCTCCATTGTTGGTATTCATTGATGTTAATTCTCTCCTTTTTAGAGGGAAGTAGCAGTTTTGAATATGAAGAGGAGCTTCTTTTCAGTCCTATCTTAATTCCTTTAGCCTGCAGATGCATAACATAGAGAATTGACATCATAGCTACTGGCAGCCTCTGTAGCTGTTGAGAAGAGTGTTCACTAATGAGTTTAATATAAATAGGTTCTCAATTTTGGATTCTAGGTTGTAATCTTTTATATTCTTGAAATGTACATGCTGCATTACCCCAAGTATACAATTGACACTATGGGAAAAGGATGTAACTCTAGTCCTTTAGAAAAAAAAAAAAAAAAAAAAAAAAAAAAAAAAAAAAAAAACTGTATAAAGTGATAATTTCAGACATAAAGTCTGACTCTTTAAACAGTTATGAATTAAACTTATACTTACTTTGGCTTTATAATAAATGAATGTGCTATCTTTTTATTATTTATTGGGGAGAACAGATTAGAGACAAAGACTAGAAAAATTAGGGAAAGTGAAAAATTGCTTGGCATAATGAAATGATAATTTTCAGAATTGTTAGGTTCTGTTTAAGATGTTTTAAAATTATTTAAGTTATATATTAACAAATATTTATGCAGGTTGAGCATCCGAATCCAAACTGCTCCAAAATCTGAAGCTTTTTGCTCAAAAGCATTTCAATTTCAGAACTGGGGATGCTTAACTGATAAGTATAATGCATACATCCCAAAATCTCAGAAAAAATATTCAGTATAGTACTGGAAGTTCTAGCCAGAGCAATCAGGCAAGAAAAAGAAATAAAGGGTATTCAAATAAGAAAGGAGGAAGTCATATTGTCTGTATTTGCAGATGACATGATTTTATATCTAGAAGACCCCATCGTCTCAGCCCAGAATCTCCTGAAACTGATAAGCAACTTCAGCAAAGTCTCAGGATACAAAATCAATGTGCAAAAATCACAAGCATTCCTATACACCAATAACAGACTTAAAGAGAGCCAAATGAAGAACGAACTGCCATTCACAATTGCCACAAAGAGACTAAAATACCTAGGAATACAACTAACAAGGAAGGTAAAGGACCTCTTCAAGGAGAACTACAAGCCAAAGTAATTTAGATTCAGCACTATCCCCATCAAGCTACCAATGACCTTCTTCACAGAACTGTAAAAAAAACACCTTAAACTTCATATGGAACCAAAAGAGAGCTCACATAGCCAAGTCAATTTTAAGCAAAAAGAACAAAGCAGGAAGCATCACACTACTGGACTTCAAACTATACTACAAGGCTACAGTAATCAAAACAGCATGGTACTGGTAACAAAACAGAGATATAGACCAATGGAACAGAACAGAGGCCTCGGAGGCAACACAACATATCTACAACCGTCCGATCTTTGACAAACCTGAAAAAAACAAGCAATGGGGAAAGGATTCCCTGTTCAATAAATGGTGCTGGGAAAACTGGCTAGCCATGTGCAGAAAGCAGAAACTGGACCCCTTCCTGACACCTTACACTAAAATTAACTCCAGATGGATTAAAGACTTAAACATAAGACCTAACACCATAAAAACCCTAAAAGAAAATCTAGGCAAAACCATTCAGGGCATAGGCGGAGGCAAGGACTTCATGACCAAAACGCCAAAAGCAATGGCAACAAAAGCCAAAATAGACAAATGGGACCTAATCAAACTCCACAGCTTCTGCACGGCAAGAGAAACAGTCATTAGAGTGAATCAGGCAACCAACAGAAAGGGAAAAAATTTTTGCAATCTACCCATCTGTCGAAGGGCTGATATCCAGAATTTACAAAGAACTAAAACAGATTTACAAGAAAAAACAAGCCCATTCAAAAGTGGGCAAAGGATATGAACAGACACTTTACAAAGGAAGACATACATGAGGTCAACAAACATATGAAAAAAATGCTCATCATCACTGGTCATTAGAGAAATGCAAATCAAAACTACGTTGAGATACCATCTCACACCAGTTAGAATGGCGATCATTAAAAAATCTAGAGACAACAGATGCTGGAGAGGATGTGGAGAAATAGGAACACTTTTACACTGTTGGTGGGAGTGTAAATTAGTTCAACCATTGTGGAAGACAGTGTGGTGATTCCTCAAGGACCTAGACATAGAAATTCCATTTGACCCAGCAATCCCATTACTGGGCATATATCCAAAGGATTATAAATTGTTCTATAAGGACACATGCACACGAATGTTAACTGCAGCGCTGTTTACGATAGCAAAGACCTGGAACCAACCCAAATGCCCATCGATGATAGACTGGACAGGGAAAATGTGGCACATATACACCATGGAATATTATGCAGCCATCAAAAACGATGAGTTCGTATCCTTTGTAGGGACATGGATGAACCTGGAAACCATCATTCTCAGCAAACTGACATAAGAACAGAAAATCAGACACTGCATGTTCTCACTTATAGGCGGGTGTTGAACAATGAGAACACATGGACACAGGGAGGGGAGCACAACACACTGGGGTCTGTTAGGGGGAAGTAGGGGAGGGACAGTGCAGGGTGGGGAGTTGGGGAGATATCTCCATGGGGAGAAATGCCAGATACAGGTGATAGGGAGGAAGGCAGCAAATCACACTGCCAGTGTGTACCTATGCAACAGTCTTGCATGTTCTTCACATGTACCCCCAAACCTAAAATGCAATAAAATAAATTTTTAAAAAATTGAAATTTAGAATACTTCTGGTCCAAGCATTTAACATAAGCAATACACAATCTGTAATGACTTACTAAAATATCATGTCTATCCAATAAGAAGAACTGGTATTAAGGACATTGCAAAAACCACTATAACCATTCTTATTCAATAGAAGCTATCATACCTTATTTTCCATCTTAATTATGTTTTACTTAAACTTTGAATTTTTGTTTCCTGGGCATATATTAATTCGTAGTAGATAATCTACAAACAAAGTACATGACTTATTACTAGCCATTTGAAGATATAACAGGTAGTTGACTGTATATATGTATGGCGTAGTATAAATAATTGCCTCTAAGTATAAGATTTTGAAAGGTAAAAAAACAAAATGTATGTCTTTACTATTATTGGTATACAGTTTCAGAAATTCACAGAAGGGAGCCAGGTGCTCGCATTGCCTAACAAAATAATGGAAGTGTGTATGCATTCTTTCTAATATCTTGACATAATGTAAAAAGGGCACTCACCAAGTGCTTTTTAGTTGACTGATTTTAAATCAGTAGATTCAGGAATACCAAAAAAAAAAAGTTTATAATTGGTTGAAAATGACAAGAGCTAGGAAACTTAAATAACTGTTGAAAAGGAAGGAGTAAGGCTACTTACAGTGTTAAAAACTAATTGGCTAAGGTGTAGTTGACTCAGATATTTCATTTTCCTTAATGATGTACATTCGTTAAACTAAATCAGTCACCTTCTCTGTAATGTTGATGGTTTGGTATAGTAAACATGAGATATGATTAAAGGTGATTCAGGAATAGATTCTGTGTCTGCATAAGTAAATCTGTATTTTCATTTTGTTTTCTAGTACCATAACAGCCTGGGGGAAAGACCATGAAAAAGATGCTTTTGAACATATAGTAACACAGTTTTCATCAGTGCCTGTATCTGTGGTCAGTGATAGCTATGACATTTATAATGCGTGTGAGAAAATATGGGGTGAAGATCTAAGACATTTAATAGTATCCAGAAGTACAGAAGCACCACTAATAATCAGACCTGATTCTGGAAACCCTCTTGACACTGTGTTAAAGGTAAATTTTCATATGTAACTTGATTATTAGAATACCTGTAGCCCAGCTGCATCAACACTACTTTTCAATTACACACACACAATTTCAGAGCTGTCTGGACCAGTCCCTGATTTTAGAGTTGCAGCCCAGAGAGAGTAATAGATTTGCCCAAGGTCACACATTAATAGCACCGAAGGACATCAAGAATTATGGATTATCTTACTGTCAGTTAGACAGTAAAATAATCTTCTCTGCTTACCTGCAAAATTAACAGCATTGCCATTTTAATTCTGTGATTTGGGCACTAAACTTATTGGCAGTTTGTTTCTTTTTCATTGTAAGTCACTGCTAGACCTTTGAAGTTGTTAGCACAAAAGAAATACGAACAAGGTGATATGGAATAAAAATAATTCAAAAATACTATTTAGGTGGAGATTCTTTAGAAATACTATTGATTGATAATGTAGCAGTGTTGCTTTTTGTTGTTAATGTTCAGGACTTGGTTTGTCTTCTTCAAAAAGTAGTAACAACAGCAGGCTTATTTGATGCCTACTACTAGAAAAGTATTATTTTAGGCGCTTTACATAAGAGGTGCCATTTAATCTCTACAAAAAACCACATTGATAAATATTACTGTTTCTGTTATAGAAGAAAAAACAGGGCCTGTAAAAGTTAAAGTAACTTGATCAAGGTCACACAAAATATAAGGAGTCAAATATCCAATATAGGTCTTTTGCCTGAAGCCTTGCTGCTTGACCACATTGTTTTTCACTTAATGAGCAGATGATAGAGTACTTACCCTTTAAGAAACGGGACAGAATTAAGGAAGTCTTTTCTTACTCTGTTAAATGATAGGCCAAGCTGAAGGTCTTGTCTTAGCCTGCAGTATTTGATTTTAGCAAACTTGATAAGTTTCATGTTGTTACTGTTACCTAATAAAAAAATGTACACAGCTAGTTAAGAGAAACTGATTTTGTTAATACAGAATTTTCTCTGCATTAGAATCTTTAATCAATTTATTTAGGAAAAGGAAGTGATTGTTGTGGAAAGACAATGACAAGTGTCTCTTCCAGGTCTTGTTTCTCTGACCAAGCTTTCTGAGAAATTTTAAGTTGATGTACCAAACTTTTAGTAGTTAGTGAATGAGTAGGATCATTTGCGTATTGTGCAATTTGGCTTTAATTAAGAGCAAAGGAGAACTTAAAGACTATGGGTTCTAGATGCTGTTTCTGCCTATCACAGTTTCTCTGAACTTTGTGATTGAAATGGATTTATGTTTGAATTGTATCAGGCAAAAACCAAACAAAGTCACTGGGCACGAGCAGAGTAAGTCCAAATCAGAAGTATAACCATGAGTTAAATGATGCTTTATATACTTCTTTAAAATATTATTTAATCTCGTAATATTAAGAATTTTTTTCTTGAATCTATATCATTTGAATAATGCTTTATATACTTTAAAATATTATTCAGTCTCTTAATATTAAGGATTTTTTTTCTTGAATCCATATAATTTGATTATATGGAAAAAACTTAGTTTTTTCTAAGGGAAAAAAACTTGTTTTGAGCCACTTCATGGTATAAATTCACCTCATAGAAAATAACATCCTTCATCCTTGTTATTAATGTACTTTAAAGGGGTTGGGACCAGATTTTAGAAGGCATATAAAGCAGTTAATTTTTATATTCTCAAGATTGTCTAGCAAAGCAAAATCATTTAACTTTGAAAGCTCTTATACTTGTTTTCAGCTTCAGTTATTTGTGTTGCATGTGTTTTTCCATATAGGTTTTGGAGATTTTAGGTAAGAAGTTTCCTGTTACTGAGAACTCAAAGGGCTACAAGTTGCTGCCACCTTATCTCAGAGTGATTCAAGGGGATGGAGTAGATATTAATACCTTACAAGAGGTATGTGTTCTATAGTAAAAATTTCAATAAAGCAGTTCTCATAATTGAGCTCGTTTATATTAGTTTGATCAACAACACATTACTAAATATAATTTTAAGTCTTCATAAGTGTTTATGTTGGTATAAATCTCTGCATTGCTTAAAGTGTAGAAATACTAGTTTACAATATAGAAGTGCCAGCCAAGCCATACTTATTCTTCCAGTAGTCATTGACCACCCTGCATGCTGAATCTAAACAAGTATCACTGTGAAACAAGAAAACATCAGTCAAGAAATACTCCTTGGAATATAAAACAAAGCCTTGACTCTCTGGCATAGGTCCCAGTTTTCATAGACTGGATCTTCACATACTCTTAACAATGTAGAACTCAGATGATATTAATGGGTGCTTTTTCAGAAATTATAGAATAGCTGTCACCTCTTCTAAATTATGCATTGAGTGTCATCACTGTTAGATATAGCCAAATAGTTTAAGTGTTAGGCAGACATACCTTCTTTTATTGTGCTTTGCATTTTTTATGAATTGAAGGTTGTAGCAACCCTGTGTTGAGCAAATCTGTTGGTGCCATTTTTCCAACTTGTGTTCACTTCATGTCTCTATGTCACATACTGGTAAATTCTCACAATATTTCAAACTTTGTCATTATATCTGTTGTGGTAATCCACGATTAGTGATCTTTAGTGTTACTATAATTGTTTTAGGGCACCACAAAGCGTACCCAGGTATGACAGGAAACTTAATTGATGAATACTGTGTGTGTTCTGACTCCTTCACCAGTTACGCATTCCTTGTCTCCTCTCACTTCAAGTCTCCCTATGCCCTGAGACAACAATATTTAAATTAGGTCAATTAATAACCCCACAGTGGCCTCTTGAGTGTTAAAGTGAATGGAAAAGTCATATGCCTCTCATTTTAAATCAAAGCTGGAAATGATTAAGTTTAGTGAGGAAGGCATGTTGAAAGCTATAATAGGCCTTTTAAGCCAAACAGTAGCCCAAGCTGTGAATGCAAAGGAAAAGTCCTTGAAGAAAAATAAAAGTACTCCTTCACTAAATATATGAATAAGAAAGTGAAACAACCTTATTACTAATAGGGAGAAAGTTTGAGTGGTCTGAGTAGAAGATCAAACTAGCCACAACATTTCCTTAGACCAAAGCCTAATCCAGAGCACGGCCCTCATTTCAGTTTTGTAAATGCTGAGAGAAGTGAGGAAGCTGCAGAAGAAAAATTGGAAGCTAGCCTAGGTTGGTTCCTGTGGTTTAGGGAAAGAAGCCATCTCCATAACATGAGTGCAAGATGAAGCAGCAAGTGCTGATGTAGAAGCTGCTCCAAGTTACCCAGAAAATCTAGCCAAGATCATTGATGCAGGTGGCTATCCCAAGCAACAGATTGTCAGTGTAGACAAAATAGCCTTCTATGGGAAGATGATGCCCTCTAGGACTTTCATAACTAGAGAACAGAAGTCAATGCCTGCTTTGAAGGGATGGGCTAACTCTCCTGTTAGTGGATAATGCAGCTGGTCACTTTAAATGGAAGCCAGTGCTCATTTATCTTTCTGAAAATCCTATGGCCCTTAGAATTTGCTGAATTTACTCTGCCTGTGTTTCATAAATGGAACAACAAGGCCTGGATGTGTTTACCTCATAGTATACCAAGTATTTTTGAAGCCCACTGTTGGAACCTGCTGCTCAGGGAAAAAAAATGCTTTCAAAGTATTATTGCAGATGGCATCTAAGATCTGATGGAGATGTACAAAGAGGTTAATGTTTTTCATGCCTCTTAACACAACTCCCATTCAACGGCCTATCAATGAAAGAGTAATTTCAAGTGTTATTATTTAAGAAATACATTTATATAGCTGCCATAGATGGTGATCTTCTGGTAGATCTGGGCAGAGTAAGTTGAAAACCTCTGGAAAGTATTCACCATTCTAGATGCCATTAAGAACATCCATGCTTCATGGCAAGATGTTAAAATGTCAGCATTAACAGGAGTTTGGAAGAAATTGATTCCAACCCTCATGAATGACTGAGTCGTGATTTGACTTCAAGACTTGACTGGAGGAAATAACTGCAAACATGATAGAAATAGCTAGGTAACTAGAATTAGAAGTGGAGCCCCAAGGTATGACTGAATTGCTGCAGTCTCATGATTAACCTTGAACAGATGAGGAGTTGCCTCATATAGATGGATAAAGAAAGTGGAGTCTTGAGATGAAATCTACTTCTGGCGAAAGTGCTGTGAACATTGTTGAAATGACAACAAAGGACTTGGAATATCCGTAGAATTAGTTGATAAAACCAAAGCAGAGTTTGAGAGGATGGACTCCAATTTTTTAAAGAAGTTCTTCTGTGGGTGAATGCTGTTAGACCAAACAGCATCACATGCTACAGATAAAACTTTCGTGATAGGAAGAGTCAATTGATGTGACAAACAACATTGTCACTTCAAGACTGCCACAGCCACCCCAACCTTCAGCAGCCAATACCCTGATGAGTCAGCAGCCATCAACACCCAGTCAGGACTTTCCACCAACAAAAAGAGCCTTTCCACTCACTGAAGGCTCATATAGCCATTAGCATTTTTTAGCCGTAAAGTATTTTTAATCAAGCTATGTTTAAGGTATGTATTTTTAAGACATAATGCCATTATTGCACACTTCATAGACCACAATGTGGTGTAAACAAACTTTTATATGCACTGGGAAACCAAAAAATTCCTGTGACTTGCTTTATTGCAGTGGTCTGGAAGCAAGCCCATAGTATTTTCAAAGTATATCTGTATTATCTTAAAATTTTTGCCACTTGTTTACTAAATAAGCTTCCTAAGGGCCATAATTTCATCATAACTAACACCTAAAATGCTCTGCAGAATATCACTAACAATGTAGGACATCTGTGTTCAGAAACCAGTGACATTTGGATGTATACCAATCTCAGATGGTATCTATAGCTATGAAACACAAGTTTTTTTTCTCTTTGAAACAGTTTGGTGGTGGTTGAATAAGGTCGGTACCCAAATTATGGTAGTTTTCCAAAGACTGATTTGGAAGGGAGAAGTATTGTGTACAACAAAAAGTATTTCTGCAGTGATGTGTATGGGTGTCTGGAATAGATCTCTTATACTAACAAGGATGAGGTTTCTTCCACCATCTCTCCAGAACTGCCTTGTTTAAGAGAATTTGGAATTCCTTTAGCTCTTCTAAGACATTTAGTGTTGGGACATAGAGGCTTTCATGTGGAAAAGAAAGAAGAAATAGAAGAAAAGTCTGCAGTGAGAAGGGAGGGGACCTTGCACATAGAAATCTCAACTGACGAGGAGGAGGACCCAAAATGGCCGACTAGGAACAGCTCAGGATTGCAGCTCCCAGTGAAAGTGCAGAGGGTGAGTGGACGCCACGTTTCCAGACGGATTTTTATTGCCCACAGACCAGGAGATTCCCAGGCAGAGGAGCCCCACGGGTCACCAGCGTGGCTGTTTTGGCCAGTGTGGCTGTTTTGGCCAGCGTGACTGCTTTGCCGGCACCCTGGCGCGGCAGTTCTCTGTACAAAATACACTGGTCCGGGTGCCCTTTTAGCTGGCAATTGGAGACCCAGGAGATAGATCGCCCATTCATCTGATTTAAAAAGGAGCCGAAACGGAGCCAGGCCAGGAGATTTCTGGGCAAAAAAACTGCCACGAATCTCAGCGCCGCTGTTTCAGCCAATGCAGTGAGTCGCCACACAGGAAATCACACAGATCCCGTTGCCTTTTCAACAGGCGACTGGAACACCTGGAAGAGAGTCAACCGTTCAACTGAAGAAAAAGGCTCTGAGTCAGGGAGTCAGGTGATCAGGCTCAGCTGGACCCACCCACACACACACACAAACAGTATTTGAAAATGCGCTAGGTTGAGAGTTTCACAGTAAGCACAGCCGGGACGGTCCAGCTCTGTGGGGGAGGGGCGTCCGCCATTGCTGAGACACTCCACCACTACAGAGGTAGTCTGCCACCACTGAGGCAGCCCACCATTGCCGAGACAACCTGCCATTACAGAGAGAGTCCGCCATTACAGAGGCAGGCCACCATTGCTGAGGCAGTTCTAATTACACCCATATAAACAGGACTGTAGGGAAGATCACATGGCAGCTGGGGGGATCCCACAACAGCTCAACAAAGCCACTGCAGGCAGACAGTGACTAGGCTGCCTCCTTGCTGGGCAAGGCAGCCCTGGAAAAAAAAAGGCAGCAGCACAACTGAAACTCATAAATAAAGCCCTAACTCCCTGGGACAGAGCACCTGGGAAAAAAAATAAATAAAGGAGTTTATGAGTTCTGCTGCAGCAGACCTAAACGTACCTGCCCAGCAACTGTGAATGAACAGTGGAGCTCACAGCTCAGGACTTGAGCTCCAATAAAGGACAGACTGTCTCCTCAAGCAGCTCCCTAACCCCCATATGTCCAGAGTCACCTCATAAAGGAGAGAACAGACTGACATTTGGCAGGTATCCTACTGGGACAAAGATAGCAGAAGAAACTGGCAGCAACCCTTACTGTCCTGCAGCTGCTGCAGGTGATCCTCAGAAAAGCAGGGCCTAGAGTGGACCTCAGCAGTCCTACAGCAGAGGTGCCAGACTGTTAGAAGGGAAACTAAGAAACAGAAATAACTTCATCATCCACAAACTGGAAGTTCACCTAGAGACCCAGTCTGAAAGTCAGCAACTACAAAGACAACAGGTGGATAAATCCACAAAGATGGGAAGAAACCAGCGCAAAAAGGATGAAAACACCCGAAACCAGAACACCTTTCCTCCTACAAGGTATCACAACTCCTCACCAGCAAGGGAACAAGGCTGGATGGAGAAGGAGTGTGATGAAATGACAGAATCAGACTTGAGAAGGTGGTAATAAGAAACTACAGTGAGCTAAAAGACCATGTTCTAACCCAATGCAAAGAAACTAAGAACCTTGAAAAAAGATTTGACGAAATGCTAACGAGAATGGACAACATGGAGAGGAAT